TATATATATATATATATATACACACACCCCAAAAAAAATTTATGACGAAAAGGTCTAGCTCATTTAACGGTTTTGCCAAGAAAAACGCAAAACAATCAGTCTCCAGGATTTTGTAGCACTTCTGCAGGTTAGCAGCACTGAGCAGCCGCGTGCTTCCGGGGCGGCCATTCTGTTAGTCCCACTGTTCTCACCGTTTCCAAATCCGAACTTGAGATCTCTTTCTCCTCCGCATAGTCCGTGACCCTCTCCAAATCAGCAGCTCCACTGTCATGTTTCCGTGGCTTTTCAACCGGCTTCCCGGTACAGTTTTCCTCGGCTTCGAGGTCCAAATCAACGTCTCCCTCAGCCGCCATGTTGGATAGTTAGCCGGAACTGAATATCGGTATGCATCGGAGAGAAAACAAGGTTGCACCGGAAGTAAGTAAAAACAAAAAAATAAAAACTCATCAGAGAGGATAGTAAAAATGTATGTGAAAAGATGGAGATCAATTACAATTGAGAAGTACAAACTATTACAAATAGTAGGGGATTTATGTTAAGATTTAGGATTTTATTTATTTAATTTATAAGATTATATTTATTTATTTATAAGATTTTATTTAAATAAAATATAGAAAGAGCCATAGAATTATGAAAAACAAACAAACAAACAAAAAATGGATGCAATTAGAAAAGCAGATGTTGGGAGAATTCAAAACTCAGTTTTTTGGCATATTTTTATTTTTTTTATTTTTAGCTTTTTAAGAGATGAAAAAAAATGTTTTTAAATAATTGATAAACCAATGAAAGAAGGGTTTAGCATTTCTCCATTTAGCACAGCTAAAATGATATTTACCCAATAGAAGGATGATTTTAATAGCATCAGAAAAAGGCAAGGGAAGATGGTCCATATTAAAAAATGACATAATTTAGGGCAAATGGGGGAACATTTATTTTCAAAGAAATCCACCTTTCATCTCTTTCCAGAAGCAATGTGTAGTAGGACAGAGGTAAAACAGATGTTCAAGGGTTCCACTGCTACCATTAAAAAAGAAACGTTTATCCACCTCATAACCAAATCTTGTAATAAATTTAGTTTATAATAATTTAGTTTATAATTTAAAAGTGTGTTTCTTTGACTTAAGTTAGAATAGGCCATTTAACAAGTTGAGAATGCTTTATCATCTGTATTTGAACTAAAAGGAATATCTCTTTCAAGTAGGTCTATCGTAGTCATGAAATTTTCTGGAATTCAAAAGACTGCTAATTAAATTATTATTGCAATTTTTATCAAACAGATTGCATTGAGCAATCAATAAGCTGGGCAATATTGGTGGGAAATTTTTATATAATCTAGAATGTTTGACCAAGTAAATCAAAGGCAGTGGAATCGATTTACAAAGTTTGTTAAACTCTCTTAGACAAGAATTTACTTTTTTTTTTATCTGAATGATTTACAAATATCGCTGTTATTGTCCAATAAATCTGTAACATAAACAATGTCTTTGTTGAACCATTCCTTTTTGAAGATAGATTTACAATTATGTGTTATTCCTCTACTGTTCCATAGAGTTGAGTTATGGGGAGAAAAGCTGTGGGTGAAAATCATTTTCCAATAGTGCAAAATCTGCTTGTGGAAGTTGGACAGCTTAATTGGAATCCTGCTTACCTCAAAATAGCATTTTAGGATAAAGTCTAAACCTCCTTATTTATCACACAGGGATCTTGGAGTGTAATACCATATACAATTCGTGTGTAACATATAAGATTTTATCGGAAGGCGTAAACCATTGATTCAATATCTGGAGCTATAGAACCACCTTTATCATATTCTTTCACCAACTGAGATTTTTTGATGTGATGCGTTTTATTCCTCCATAAAAATTGGAAGATCATTGTGTTTGCTTTATTCACGTCTTAGAGGAAATAAACAAGGAGTGTCAGAGATAAATAATTTGGAGATACCTTCAGTTTTGGATAGAATAGTTCTGCCAAATATTATAAGGTCTCTTGTTAACTAAGGACTTTCTTCATGTCCAAAACACGATTTGAAATATTTGTATCTTCTCTTCTAATTAATTTGTTGGATATTGTCAGCCCTAGGTATCTTACTTCAGAGGCTCTGACTCAGTAATGCCCCATGTGCATGGTGGCTCTGGATGTTTCTACTCCAGACTCAGTCCACTGCTTTCGCAGGTCCCCCAAGGTCTAGAATCGACCCTTCTCCACAATCTTCCTCAGGGTCAGATCATCTCTTCTAGTTGTGCAGCGTTTTCTGCCACACTTTTTCCTTCCCACTGAGGTGCCTTGATACAGCACTCTGGGAACAGCCTATTCATTCAGAAATATTTTTCTGTGTCATACCCTGTTGCTTGAGGGAGTCAATGATGGCCTTCTGGACAGCAGTCAGGTCAGCAGTCTTACCCATGATTGTGGTTTTGAGTGATGAACCAGGCTGGGAGTTTTAAATGCCTCAGGAATCTTTTGCAGGTGTCTAGAGTTATTTGGTTGATTCAGATGATTAGGTGCATAGCTCTTTTAGAGACCTTTTTGATGATATGCTAATTGTGTGAGATAGGAATTTGGGGGTTTTATGAGCTGTATTCCAACATTAAGACAATAAAAGACCTGAAATATTTCAGTTAGTGGGCAATGAATCTAAAATATATGAATATTCAAGTTTTATCATTAAATCATGGAAAATAATGAACTTTATCACAATATGTTAATATTTTGAGAAGGACCTGTAGTCTTTTAAAAAGATGCAGGTATCATCTGCAAATTGGTTTATTCTAAATTCTCTAACGAACAGAAGTAAGTTTTTAACTTTATTGCTAACCACTCATTTAAATATAGCAAACAATATACTGAGTGGAATTTTTTTTTTTTTTACGAACAGAGAAAGCAGGAAAATAATTGAAGGGAAAATTGGAAGAGGAAATAAAAAGGATGAATTAAATGCATCACTTCAGTTTCTCTGCAGATCTACAATCAAATTGTCTCAGACACACACAAAAAAAACTTAATTAGGGCTACGGTCCTATTTAAGATTGTAAGGTTTGTCTAAAACAATTATCAAAAATGTATACTATCTGTTGAAAAAAAACTAAGAATCCACTGATAAATTTATTTATATTGTTAATGTATGCTTTCTAAGAAACAGTCAACCAATTTGATTTGATCAATCAAAAGTATATTTATGCATTTCAAAGAAAATATATTTTGCAAACTGCAAAACTAGACTTGGACGGAAGTCTGCTAATCTATTGTTCTGTTGCTTCAGTCATTTTTCAACAGGGCATGTGAGGGTTCATAGGCTTATACTAATCTAGGATAAATCAACCAAAGGTATAGTGCTAAAAATATTTGTGTGACAAACCTAACAGAGATACATATTGATAAAATGTTTAATAAATGTTAAAATCTAAACATATATAAATAGAAATTCAGTTCAGAGTTATAGATTTCATTTTCTTTCTTGGAATATTACTTGGGTCAAAAAGCAACAAAGTTAATCAATTTAGCAAATTGAAATATGACTCAGTAAGAAGTTTGTATTGTGTTTATTGCTTTGTATCATTAATTGTTTTATTTGCTAAAATATCTTTTAACCTACATGAGGATCCCGGAAAGGTGTGGTCCATAAAAATCATAGCAATTAGGTGTCAGAGACACCTGATAAATGTAATAGAAAATACATCCAATAGTGTTTCATGTTTTCCCAGAGCTCCGATACGGAACCACACATAATTCTGGGGGATAAAGAGAGAGGAAAGGCATTTTCTTCTGCTACGTATTTAATTAATTTAACTAGGAAAACAAAAAAAAATAAACTAAAATACTCCTTAATTATTAATAACATTGCACCCATATACTCCTACTCAATTAAGCTAGAGTACCCATGCAAGAAAACTATACGCATTAAGAGGCTGGGATTTGAATCCAGGTGCAGCTTACTGCAAGAGAACAAAACTAAACACTGCACTGCCATGTGGGGCTAATGACAAGCTGGGATTTAGCAGACAATTTAGGTAAATTCAACACATTCATGGTTTAAATGTTGATAAATGTAACATACTTAAGTAGAGTATAACAAACCAAAGGAAGTAACAAATAACGTTATTTGCCAAATTTGCCACAAGTGCTAGTAAGGACATTTTAGCATAATTTCAGAAAGCACAGAATCTCAACAAAATCCTTGGAACAGAAATACTTAAGCCTTTTCTCACCCAATATTTGAGGGACGTTTAGTTTGGCAAAATGGTGAAATATTAGCCAAAGGCATTATATAAAAAAAAAAAAAAAACAAAAAAAAAACACAAGAAATTGATATTATACACAACCACACACCTGTGGATTTCAGTCCCAGTGAATACTTTAGATTTCCTCATTGATATGAACCTAATTTGATTGAAACAAACAAATATAAAAAAAATCTTAAGTGCAAACAAATCCAACAGTTGTGCTGCTGATGGACCAGGAGACGAAATCTCAATGAGAGAAAGGTTGATGGTTTGTGGTCTGCCAGGTCTTCCAGATGTGCTTGGAGAGACCAACCTGGGCACACTGATACACCAACCCCCTAATAACAGACAGATATTTTTAAAGAGGTTTTATAACCGTTATCAAAGTAGCAGCACCAATGACAGCAACTACCTATTGTAAAATCTGCCACAATTAAAAAGACAGACAACTATGCATAAAAGAATACATTTATTAATACCTGCTTTTATAGAACTGCAGTAGAGCTCCAAGCAGTCCTGACTACTGTGACAGAAGATGCATCGCTGGCAGGGAAGATGGTCCAGAATCATCAGCATCCAGAGCTTAAGCTGGATACAGAGTCCTCTTAAAAAATAACTATAAATTCATAAAAAAAATAAAGGTGCATTGCACCCACTAAAATCGTTCGCCAAGTCTTTATTTTTGATTTTATCTTTTTATAAACCATGTCTTTGTTTTAAATCTTCATCAATAATGTTCTTCCCTCTCAGATCCATGAGAAGAACTTGTAATGCAGTTTTTGCTCTCCTTTCCCGATCCTTGGCATTTCTCATCTCTCTTTCCAGACTCTCAACCCTTTCCAAAGCCTCATTAAGTTTTGCCTTCAGATCACCCGGAGATGGAGGCAGTGCATAAGAGTGGTCCTGTTAAGACAAAAGGGATCAGTCATATAAACACTAAGACCAAAGTTAGTCACTGGAGCATTATTTTGGAGATACAATCACAAACGGCAAGTTAAATGTCCTGTGTGAACATACGTGTAGATGGTTGTCAAAATAACCCCATGGCCAAGTGTGATGTAAAAAATACTCAGAACTCACCAAATCGGGACTGGGCAGAGGTTCAGGTTCTTGAGCAGGTGGGGAAATATTCACTACTTTGCTGTCTTGTTTCTTGGGAGAAGTCTTGGTTGTGTTAGTTGCTGGAGGCTAATTTGAAACACAAAATATTCAGGTTACTATGTCATTAAATGTAAATAAAGCTTAAATCCTTAATACCTAGTGTTACGCCTACCTTTTTGCGACGAGTAGGAAAACTAAAGACTGAGGGAACAACTCCTTCTCTGAGTCTAACCGTCTGGCCTGTTCTGTCGAAGTCCTCTGGTTTAAAATGCTCACTGCAGATTCTGGAAGCGTTGCTGGGAGTGAAGTCTTTCCTCCTGACAGCTCTTATCCATTGTTTCTTCATGCTGCTTTCTTTGGGAAACCTAGCAAGTATAGGAGAGAAAAAAATCAACAAGATAGCTAAAAATCTCTTTTATGGAATCTGTCATTGGTAAAGAGCAGCTGTGTTAGAGTTGACTAGGCGGAACAGTTCAAATTACACTGTCACAGGGACAGAGCAATGAACTTCACTCTTTGCATTTAACCCATCCCCCTGGGGAGCAATGGACTGCCATTGTGCAGCACCCAGGGAGCAGTGTGGGGTTAAGAGTCTTTGTTCAGGGAACCCCAGTGGAGGCTGTGGGAGTGGGACTCGAACTCAAAACCTCAGGATTCCAAACTCTATGCCCTAACAAATAGGCCAGATGGTGGGGAGTTGGATTAAATTGATTTCTTGTAAAGCCATAAAAACAGCCTTATTTGAGTTTTCACACATTTACTACAGGCCGTTTTTTTAATAACCCACCATTAATGTACTAAAACTATCCAGGTGTACCCCATTTAAAGCCAGATCTCAAATAAGGCGGTGAAGACTTCTAGACATACCTGAAAAATGGAAGATGTTTGATTCTAAACAAACTTACTGGGAGCTACACAAATCAAAAATTAGCTTATTTCTTTTTTTTTTATTAATTAGCTAAGCTGTTGTTTTTCAAGTTTTACCCTTATATAATGTGTTTTTAGATAAAAAAAAAAAACTCTTGATTTGTAAGGTTCTTTAATCACTTACAATGTTCTTAAATCACATACAGTTTTTTGTTCTCTCATTGGTCTATAATAGATGAGCTGTGTATGCAGTGATGCAAGATCCCATAAGAGTACAAAACAAATGTCTTAAACTCTAGATATATATTAATTGTATATTTTCTTTCCTTTTTAGACTTCTAATTAAGATTATGATAATTACAGAATATTATTGATTATACAATGATAAAGTTCAAGCTTTGGGCCAATTTCATTCTCTTATAATTCAAGCCTGAGCAAAATGAAGATGGTCGAGAATAGCTAGAAATGGGCAGAAAAGCCCATTTTATAATCTACAGGGATGCTAAATCAAATGTCATGTAGTCCATGACAAGTGATTAGTTAGGCCAGGGGTCTTCAACGTTTCCCAGGCTGATAACCCCAAACTGGTGGCTAGATCAGAGCCAGGACCCCCTAATTATACATATTGTATGAAATTGTGTTATGTCAAGCTGGTTTTAGGGTCACTCACAGTCATGCAACTAAAGTAATTTCACCCTGGCATTATTAAAGTATTTCTGATTCTAATTCTTCACTGATGGGACAGGTGTTGTAAATGAAATGGTGCCCAGCTTGAAAGAGCTCCTGTGTTTTGCTGAATGTGTGCATTGATAACTGAAAGACATCTTTTGCCTCCATTTATCTGTTTACTACAGTGTGTTGAATTCATGTTGATGTGTATTTAAAGACATTTCAATTAGCAGAAAAAAATGCAGGGGGTAGTATAACATTTTTTTTTAAAGTCTAAATCAACCAAACCTTTAGCGACCCCCATGCAGTACCTCCATGGACCCCCTAGGGGTCGCGGACCCCCTGTTGAAGACCTTTGAGTTTGGCTATCTGGTCAAAACGAATATATATATACAAAAAAAGAAAATAAAAAAGTTTTGGTACAATTTCATAAAAATGCTTAATTCTTTCCAATAAAGTCAAAATATGTAAAGATATTTTTGGAATTTGAGTGCGGAAGTTGACCGTTTTGTTCATGACGTCAACCCATCCAAACAATCAAAACACGACAATTATTCAGCCTCACCTGTGAAAGGTAATCCCCGCCGCTCTGGTCTCGACCGTAAAACGTTTTTGACAATTAATTGCAGCACACGAGTGAGGCATTTTGATCAAATAAGTTAAAAAATGGAATATAAAATAGGGCTAACTGCTCCGCTTGGCGCTTTCAACAACTGGGCCACTCATATTATGGCGGCGACGCTCACTGAAAGAAGTACGTAGGGAAACGGAAGTACGTAAGAGATCACTTCCGTAAATTTCAAAGTAAAACAAAGTACGGTTTTTATAAATGAAAAATGAATTAAGGATTACATTAACATTACGTTTTATTATCAACATTTGCAATGTTAAGCGTTGCAATTTATTTAGTGACGTTTGTTTAACAGGAATACAAATTTCTGTTTGTATGAAAGGAATTACATATTTCTAGAAATGATAAATACATTTATATGAAATAAATGTACAACAACAAAAAAACTCCTTTCTGGTCATATGGTCCAAGCAAAACACATGTCTTTGGAACTGTTTAGGTGTGTAAATATATTGTTATTATAGGCAGGATGGATTCATGTTGCTTTAGAAAAACCCTTTATCACAACCAACTGAAGGTTACAGCTGAAGTAGAGATTTAGCTGAGCTGCTAACTGTTTTCCAGACCATAATATCATTATCAATATTTTTTGGGGGGGGCATGAGATCTGTAGCCTTAGTGTGTTATCTTAGCACTTGCATGGTTTTTCCCTGTAGCCCATGTTCGTCAAAGTACAACATGATGTGCATTCAGAGCAAATATTTTGCATACCCTAAATTTACCCTGTCTATTCTCAGTTGTCCACTATAATCAATATTTGACAGCTGCACTGCACTGGATATATTTCTTTCCCACACTATTCTCTGTTTATCCTAAAGATAGTTGTGTGTGAAAAGCCCTGCTGGTCAACAATTTCTATAATGCTCTGAATACAAAACCATACAATGTTAAAATTCACTTACAGGTATTTATGCAATTAATGATGCTCAATTTGACCTTCAGAAAATCCTGTTCTATGTTCCTGTTCTACACTATTACATCTTGATGTAATAGTGTATGGAGTGCCTTTCATGTGTGTGCATATAGACCTGGCCTCTTTTTCATATATAGTCTTATTATGCAGTAGTTCTTACACTTTTTCTTTTACGTTTTAGCCATTATTGTTTTATCAAGTCAAACTGTTATCAACACATTTTGAAAATACTATAAATATAATTTCTTTTACTGTTTTCAGTTTTAGTATGAACTTGGGTGATGAAAACAAGATTGTGAGACTCTGTTTGTCCGGATTACAGAAGTCACTTTGTGTTCCACCTTGTGCTATTCCTGTCTGTTTTAAGAGGTTTATTTGTTCTCCAACCACAGATTTCCTGCCTCCAGACGTTTTTAGTCCTTTCATGTACTTGAGCTTTAACAATCCACCCATCTTAATGAGATTAAAGGAAAGGGAAACCTGTTCAAGCTGTCTGCCTGAGCGGGAGTAAAAACCACATCAATGTTCTTTAGGTCTGGTGCTTCAGGAGATGTGCGAGGAGGTGAGAGGCCTGAGAAATGGCATCAGGTCCCTTGAGAAGTCATTGTCATCATACAAATCCCTTTATCCTGCTTTATGACTGATGGCTGTTGTTTGAACCTGCTTTGCTCCGGGCATCAGGAATAGGATGACAGGACGCTGTTTTCGAGCGCAGGTGAGGAAGTTAGAGCTCAGTTTTCCATTTTAAGAAAATGTTTTCACAATTTACTTTCATGGTATTCACTTCACTCTGCTTAAAATTTTGATACAAAAATCTATATGAGCCAGTCAGTTCAAATGTTGTTGTTTTGCAAAGTGCAACAGAAGATCACCTGGGATTATTCCTTATCAAATCTGGTGGATTGATATACATGTCCAGCCACAGAGTACCTCCATAGACCTCCATATAAAAAAAAAAAAAAACATGTGTTTGCTGTTTATTTTGAGCTTAATTTTAATAACTGGAGCATGTGTGTTTATTTTAGAAATGAGTTAATTTCATAATTTAGAGATGAAACTGTTTAGAATGCTTTTAAAGCTTGTCTTAAGTGTATCCAAGGTCATGATAGTGCCACCACCATGCTTGATCATAGATATGGTATCCTTAGGTTTGAAACCAACACCTTGAGTCCTGCAGACATGCTTCTTGGCATTGTGGCCAAAATTCCTCCAATAAATATATATATATATATATATATATATATATATATATATATATATATATATATATATATATATATATNTGTGTGTGTGTGTGTATTGAAATTATTATTTCTGTGTTTACCCCTTGTTTTTATCTGTTTGTTAGTAAACATAATGCTTTATGAATATTTACCATAACAAGGCCACATGAAAGGAGGTATGATATGGCAAGGTATTCAGCAGAGGGTCCAGGCAGGATTTGATCCCAATCACATTGCAAGTGAAAGTCATGTCCCAGTGGCCAAGTAGCCAAGAAGCACAATCAGTTGAAGGCCTAGTGACAGGACCAGACTTTCATATCTCTCCCCCTTTTTCCACAAGCATGGAATTATGCATCACCCTGGTAGCCACAACTATTCACTGTATGAACCCATGGACTGTTTACTAGTATTGCACATGGTCCTGCCAGCAACAGCAGGTTGTGGTGAGGTACCCACAACCTCCAGGGTGAGAGTCATGCATGCTTCCCAGTCAGCCAAAGGAATACCCTGGATGGTGATAGTACCCCACACTCTGCCACCAACTAATCATGTGTCCTGGCTACTTGGCCTTTTTTTTTAACTAAAAATTTGTTGTTTTTTATACAGAGTGTTTAGATCAATCTAAAACTAGTCAAAAACTCCTATTAGGAAAAAACTTTCTAATGGTTTAAAGCAACTAGCAAAAAAATAAAAATAAAAATTGTAGCTTCAAAGGATGAGAGGAGCCCCATCCAATTATTTCACAAAATAACAAAAAAACATAAACACACAAACTTGGAAATCAAAGTTGAGTCTGTTTTTTTTTTATTTGAATATGACATAAACAGGCTCCATTGTCTTCAAACATAAAGCTATCTTCAGAATGTAATTTAATGACAAGACATCAGATGATTTTAATGAAAATATTTCTTATAGTAGGAGCATGACGCGCCTAAGTTATCATTATGAATGGGTTCATTGTATTCCCTTCTTACCGGTGGCTTCTGGATGTGGTTATTTATTCACTGCTTTTTATTTACCCATGTTTTAAACAAAAATAAAACCTTTAATTATACACCATTGGTATCTTTTAGGGATACTTCATGTATTGTAAATTGACCCAGCCCCCCTTTTTCCCAAACAAGGTTTGGACTACTGCCAGCTATTGTTATGCAAGCCTATTGAAACCATAGATTGAGCGCTTTCTCTCATGCAGCCAATTGCATCTCCTAATTTGTTTTTGTTTGTTCTCTTTGGCACTTTCTCCTCTCCCATGAGGCAGCAACAATTATCTGTGGGCAAACGGGCCCCAAGGAATGCCAGGCTGCAGACTGGACTTAGGCAACACATGTTTGTTGCTTGGAATCAATCCTTACAAGCAGTAAAGGCTGCAGAAAATCATCTTAAGGGGCAACAGATATTGTTTAATAAAACAAAAATCATTGATTTTTGTATCCAGAGGGTATGTTCCTAGAAATGAAGGTTACATAAATTTTACTGGTTGATTGATGCAAAATATGTACATTTATAATTGCTTCAGTTATCCTGGTTTAATTTGACTAGATCATATAAAATGAATGCCAGATTATGCTTTGGTGCTTTATATTTTATAGTGAGAGCCTTATAGGTACAGTAAGGAGTAGTTATCCATTTGACTGAACATTTAAAACCCTGAATGCAATGTCAAATTATGAATCCACCCCCTCTCCACACACACTGCAGTTACATCAACCAAAGAACAAGCTTAACAAAGTTTTAGTTTGCACCAATTTTTTTGTCATCACAATTTTTTTGGACAGCTCTTTTGTCTATTTTGTAAAATTGTTTACCAAACGCTGTGGCTATCTGGACTCTCATTTTGGATTTGTTTGCTGTCTCTTAGCTGTTTTTGCTTCAATTGTGCTGTTTTGTTTTTGATCATTTTATGTTTTTATGATGACTTCGAGTCTCAATTTAATTCTGACCATTGTCTGTCCATCTACAGTATACAGTAAGTCCTGTAAATCTATAATTTGGTTGTCTTTTTCCGGAGTTCTTGCTGCTGTTTTCACAGCTCTAATTTTGTCATATCAATATATTTTTCTTGAATTTATTCTGCAAGCTGGGTTTAGATGAATCAGATGAGATGAGTCTTTGTATCTCCAGAATTTTGTGAGCCATTTTCAAAACATTTACACTCTTAACTGACTGGGTTTTTGATTTCTTTCCTTTAATAGTTTTGTTTATGTTAAACATTTTTACCTATTTCACTTGCTTAGAGGTCTCACTTTAATCACTTTGAGTTCTCAGCACTTGGTAAGCTATCCACTACCCCATTTATCTGGTCTATTTTGCAATAAAAACTGATAAACACAATAAAAAAAATTGTAAGTTACTAAGTTCCTTTTGGTGAGATACAGACTTGTTCTACTGCGGTATATCTCTTTAAACCTAACTGCTCCTCCTGTAATCCCACAACTGCATATTCACTAGAAGGTTCTGGGAGAGTCTCTGTTCACTGGGTCTGTAAGGCCAAGCTTCTTAGCTGAGAGTGAACCTCGGCTGCCTCCCTCTTATTTAACCACCTATTAGCTTGGGACTTCTAAGAAAGTGAATATGTAAACACCAAGGCTTTGAAATATATATATATATATATATATATATATATATATATATATATATATATATATATACATGTTGCATTTTTGTTTACTAATGGTTGATTTAGCTGTTGTAAAAGATAGTAAAAGATCTCGGCATCAGGTCCAAAAAAGACGATCAAAAATTTTACACTGGACCTTCCCAGTTAAATCTTCCTCTTTTCTGCAAGAATCTTCTTCATTCAAAAAACAATTTTTAGTTGAATTACTGAGCTGAATGAGTGTATTACAGTCGGAGTTCAAGTGCACAATGCTGCATGAAATATACCATGTCGGATAGTATACAGGTGGCTTAGGGTGAATAACAGGCTGCAGCATTTAAAATCTTGTCTGGGCCTATGAAGGTCATCCTGACAGAGAGGAGGGCTGAATAGCAACAGGATTATCCCGCTGTCCGGTCCTGCACACTAACCCAATTCTAATCTGGCTCCCTCTCTTCAAGCACTCATCATAGTTTTACAGTTACATTGACAGTATCTTATTGCTGGTGGAGAGAACACAAAAGAATAAACTCGGCTCCAAACTGCTCTAAATTAACCAGATAATGTACATACATCAGTGAAATTGCAATGATTTTGCATTCAGCCTTATAAGAAAACCAAGAAATGTTAGAAAACACTAGAACAATGTAAGAAAACTTCTATTTCAAAGCAATTTCCCTGTCAGGATGTAACAACAACAATTAAAATAAAAAATGAAAAGTAAAAAAAAACGTTTTAATATCCAATATCTCCATTGAACTATGCTAACATTGGTTTATAGTGCCCGACAAAACGTATACCTGAGCAACTTGAAGTATTGGATTCCTGTGAAGGTATTTTGAAAGGTGTTTTGAAATAAAAGATCTACATGATACGATGTACATTTGTATTTAGCCCAAATGTGCTTTGATAACTTTATAAGATCCAACTCTACAAGCAGCTTTCATAAGTTAATTGACTAATAAATAGTCAGACTGTGTGTAACTTAACCTCAGCATGAGTATGAATATTCTGTGAAGACCCAATAATTTGGTAGAGAACATTAGAGAACAAAGAACTTCTGGAAGAGACAGATCAGTCAGGTGACGAAAAAAGTTGTTTAGGTTAGGTTTAATGTAAAGTCACAACAGTGACATTGCCCTGAACAAACCCTCTATATGGTGAAACATGGCACTGGCAGCATCATTTGTCTGCATGTCTTTGTCAAACTAAGACATGCAGACAGAGAAAATTGTCAGAGTTGTTGGGAGGACTGATAGAGGAAGACAGCCAGTTAGATTCATCAAAAAACTGAGAATAGCACCATTCATACACAATGCAATCCAAAAAGCATCATAAAAAAAAAGAAATAATCATAATGTTTCACCTAACCGGAGAGCCTAATATCTAAAGTACTTTAAAATATTGTACAAAAGAATACATATTACAAACCAAATTTAAATCCAAATTTAGATTCAACTTTAACATTGAATTTAAATCCCAAACACAATCTTATCCTCAGGCCTTGGCTTTAATCATTCAGCAATCTGTCAATCAGGCAGAATCCTTAATCAAAAGCTGCTTTCCTCATTTAGAGCAGCCAACATGTTTTGCACATCTTAAATTTTCATGCAGATTCTTCCATAACTCTGGGGTATAAGAACGTAAATGGGGAAGGTCCTGCCTCCAGAAAGGCAGGGATCATAACATACAGCCAAAGGCTCAAATAAAGGGATTCATTCATGTCTGACAGATGAATAGTTATGTCTATCAGATAATCTTTGGAAGGAGTTAAAAAAACAATGTTTAAGGCTTTTGATGTGCATAATAGTTAAAGCCATAACCTGAAAGACTTGCAGCTATCTTTGCAGAAAATGGTGCTTTTAAAAGGTGTTCACTAAAAACAAGTGAACATCATGCTCTTTGGATTAGTAAAAGTTTAATCTACTCTTCAGTTACCTGGTACTTTGTTTCTATTGGTTGCATAAAATCTCAGTTTTAATGCCTATGTTTTTGGTTGCAGGTAACTCTTCTGTTACCTGCAACCAATCCTACAGTGACCATATCCCTTTTTACAGAAAGGGGTGTGGCCACTTTATAAGATACTTTAACAGATTCTAGTCAAACAGTAGAGTGCCTCTAAAAAAGTGCCTCTTTATTGTCCTGGCGAGGTTGGGATGCTCATCACCATGGAGATTAATTATTATTCGCACCTTCCCTTCTATTTTTGAGTCTTTTTGGTCCTCCATTATATGTCTGAAATGTGCTCTGGCCTGTGTATTATTGGGTTTTGAGAACATCCACTAATGCACGGTGCATCCTGTCATTCCATGCTCTGCATTTAGTCTGCTCTCTTTCTGTGTTTCTGGGTCATAATGCAATCACTATGCCTAGGATTACAGTTATAGCCTGTTTCAGTGAGGAAGACATGGATTCCAATCTGATGCAGGTCTGTCAGAGGCCTGTGGGGTCTCATTCCAACATCCAGAGATCGGTGTTTCATGTTGTGAAGAAGGTGTTGTCCACTTCCAGTATACTGTAAGGTTTGTGTCATGCTGGGGGAAGGGACAGAATGGACAGATGGGACACACATGGTCCATGTCAACCTCCCCTGTCTCCTCCACCCCCCTGCCTCTGTCTAATCTGACCAGGATGCGAAGGGGAGGGTGAGGGATGAGGGAGGCCACTGGGCTATTGCCTCTGTTTCTCCCTCCTTTCTGGCAACAGCCAACAGAGCCATAGAGCAAAGGCACGCAGGACATGGGTGAAAAGAACAACTGATTCTCCTGCAAGGCTTTTCAGCCGGGGCTCAGGCTGAGGGTCTCGGTTGCAGGAAGTCCAGCTGAAACAAACCCAGTAGAAGGAGCGAGCAAGGACAACCTGTTACTTCTCTGACAGGCCTGGCACAGGCTTCGGCTCTGGCCTTCTTGAGGATGTAAGGATTTTTTGCCGTCTCTTGTGGAAAAGCTGTCAGTACTGGATGTTAATGGCCAAATGTAGAACTTCAGTGGTTGATGACAAGCAGTTCGGAGGAAAAATGTCGGCCACGCAGGGGATGAGCCGCACCAGCATCTACAGCTACTTCCTTAATATGGTGGCCTATCAGGTGAGCGCTGTAAGAGAAAGGGGTGTTTAAGATGTCCAACACTTGGATTAAAACTATAGAAAAGGAGATTGTCAATAATCTTCTATTTTTTTTATTTTTTATTATTATTTTGATGAAAAACAAGCATTGTGGAAATTGACATAAAAGCTCCTAAAAGGCTGTCATGTGTTTCCTGCACACCCATGTTTGAAAAGAGCTGGGGGAAAAAAGCTCACAATATATTGAAATATTTAAAAAACTAATTTTATATATACATATATATATATACGGATAAAACTTATTTATTAGCATCATTATAAGAGCTTAGACTAATATTGCTGACAGATTAATGCACGAGAAGCATGGTTATACCTAATCCAGTCATGAGGCGCTGTGTTTTAGTGATGGATTTATAAACTAATTGGAACCTGATATTTTACCAGAATAGTAACAGTACAGTTCAGCTCCAGTTTAACTCTGTTAGGGCAAAAAAGTACACAATGTTCTTTTCAAATGTTTTAAAACTGCAGAACACAATGGATCTTCTGAGGCAGTACATCATAAAACAATACATATTATAGGTGTTACAGGAAAGTTCAGCTCAGTGACGTGATTTAGTCCCTTTCTTTCATCAGTTCCTTCAAAGGAATTTTATCTTCAATTATATACATACATTTTTCAGTTTCAGACAAGATATGCTCAGGAATCATTAAGCTGCTGTATTTTATTTTTTTCTAAAACCTACTGAAGAGAATTATTGTTTTTTTTTTTGTTTGGTAACATAGATTTATTAAAGAATGCTTATGAGGAGCATGTTGTTGTAGTAATTATTAGACCAACCATGCTAACTAGAACATCAGAACTCTAGAAATACTTCTGGGATCATTTCCACCTGCATGTTTTGTGACAATATGTTAAATAATTCAGTCTGTAAACCTTAGCAGATGCCAAGGCTTTGGACTGCAGTAAGAGCCTCAAATGGAGAAATATTGAACAGTTGTTATTCTTTCACAGAGTGCCCTGGCTAATCAAATAGGTCAGAACAGAACACAAATCAACAGCTGAAGCTCCACAGGCCTTACCTGCTTAAGATGAGGACAGTATTGATGAATTAACAATATCAACAATAAGAAAAATAATGCCCGCCTCACATTTTCCTAAAACTCATGAGGACTTCTGAGAGTTTATATGCAAAGACAAGATAAAAACTCAAAGTATGTTTTGAAAGGTGTATGATGTAAAACTAACTCAGTATTTCTTTAAAAGAACTCCATACTCACAGTCAAACCTTGCGGTGATAGTGTGACTGTCTGGCTTGTATTGAATTTTAATCTTTAAGGACTATTTGCCTCACCTGCGCCTAAGATAGCGTAATGACCTCTGTTTCAGTAGTTCAATGGAGGCTCTATAGATGAAAGTATAACCAATGAATGAGTGTGGAGATTAATAATTATGACATTAAATAATATAGGAGGCAATGTTGTGTAAGAGGGATATATTTTTACTCTTGTTAAAGACCTTCACTATAAGTGATTGACACCATCAACCATATGGAGTGCGAATGGTGCTGCTTTAGAACCTGGGAGACTTACCATAAGTCATGCAAAAATGAATTTGTGTCCCTACCAGAAAATCCTGAAGGAGAATTGGACATCAGTTTATTACCTTAGGTCTGAGTGCACATTGATCAGAGGTGTCAAGTAACTAAGTACAAATACTTTGTAACTGTACTTAAGTGCACTTTTTAGGTATCTATACTTTAATCCATTACTTATTTGTCTTCCTACTTCTGACTTCTACTCATTACATTTTCACACAAGTATCTGTACTTTCTATTCCTTACATTTTTAAAACAAACGTAACTCGTTACTCTTGGCTTCGGTTTTATGTCTAGAAATATTATTTCATGTCATGTACGCCATCCAATGCAGATCATTGGCTCCATACACATCTAGTGAAAACTAGTGTAATTGGATGGGTCATATAATGCAAACACTCATTTGTTAGCTAAAGGAAATCATCAGTAGCAAGCAGGTGTTCTTCAAACTGCAAACGCGAATTGCCTATGCCATGCTACAATGTCGGATTCAGAAAAAGATGTTGAAATATCTGAAAGGTCGGACACAGGCGAGAGCGTATCAGGAGATGGAGACCAACAAGACCTCCCTCATCCTTTGCCCTACCTTAAAGAATTTTTCGAAATAGTTGAAAAATTGAGCTTTCAATTCATTAAGTGGCATCTGCTTGTCATTATAAAGGTTACTTTATACTTTAAGTAGCGTTTAATGCACATACTTTTTCAATTTTACTTGAGTAAAGAGGTCAAGTTGATACTTCAAATTTAACCAGAGTGTTTTTAAACTGCAGTATTTATAATTCTACTTAAGTAACAAATATGTCTACTTTTGACACCGCTGATGGTGATTAAGCAGCAAGTCAATGACTGAAACACAACAGCATGTCTACTACTTAAATAAGATTTTAGAATGGCCTAATAAAGGGGAGGGCAGCTTTTGCATGCATCACTGCTACAATACACCTGAAACAAAAGAATGGTTAATGGACAGGCCTTTTCTAAACTTTCCGGCATACCAAGGAGGTAATTTGGCCTTTTGTTTCAGGTTTTTTAAAGAAGGGATGCATGCAAAAAGCTTTAGGACAGTGGCACTCGAGGACTGACTCTGCCTAGTCAAAGGCTTGACTTAAATTTAATTGTTCTGCTGTGGCAGCCTCTGAAACACGCTATCCACATGGTAAAAAACTGTCCAATAAAAGCAAGGCTGTAAAAGATGGAGCCATATCTCATCCACATTGAGGAGACTGAAGATTGAAATGCTGCTGCCTAAGAGAGCAAGTGAAAAACAGTCAACACATTTTACCGATAAACAGAAATAGTTAACCCAAATTCTAAGAATTATGTAATTCAATTATATAACAAATTCCCATTGACTTTTTTTGATAAGTTTAACATAAACCTATTAAATAAACCTTACATGATACGTACTAATAATTTTAATATAGCTTATTTAAGTAAAATAATTAACATGTTTATGCATTTTGAATTGATATAGTATAATAGTTCAAAATTGATATAACTGAGTGTATTTATTTCAAATACATAAAGTTTGTTTGTTTGAATTGCAGTATAATCAGATTACAATGCAATTCAAACAATGATCTTTATGTACTTGAACAAAATACACACATTACTATTAACTTTGATAAAAGTATACTATACTAATACTAAATACATAAATCTGATGAATATGTATTTCAAATAAAAGTTGTTTTTCTTTGTTTTTACGGCACTACTGGCTCATTTTTTGAACAGTAGGCTACATGGGTCGTGTGCGCTATCCACTGTACCACCGAAGCCTGCCCTCAAATAAAAGTTTTATTATACAAATGAATATGGATCCTGTAAGGTTTACTTCATAGGTATGTGTTAAAATTATCTAAAAAAAAAAGTGAATGGGAATTTGCTGTGTAAAAATTTTACAAAAATCTTAAAATTTGGGTGAAATATTTCTGTGAGTGTAAATGTAAAAGTTTTATTAATTCCCAATAAATCCAGACATGGGCTGACTAATATTTATTTATAGTAACCTTTACATTACCATATTCCACCACTCTCTTAGATGTTTGAGTTTTAGGGGCTTTTTACATGTTAAGCCAATTTCCGGTCACACCACTGCATTTAAGAAAGATAAAATAGTACTTAAAATTTCTTATTTTATATATTTAACCAGTCTTAATGGGTGTAATAGCATCATTGGTTAACTGTCATTCTGCAGGGCCTGGTTATGCCTGTGCTTTTTTTTTTTTCTTTTTCCTTAAGCATCCTTTACTATGCTTTAGATTTCATGGCGAATACTATGATGGTTTACAGAATAGATCCAACCGAAAAGCATTGTCAAACAATGACACATCTGCCCCCGTCCTTCACTGTTGGGGAGGCTCTTTTCTTGGAAAGTTCTAATTCAGTTTGGACTCATCTGGCCAAAGAACATACAGTATGTTTCTGGTCTTTGTTTACTTTCTCTCTGTTAATACATTCTCTGACCTTTTTGTTTCTTTTAGACACCAAATGCCCCTTCCATGCACACCTCTAAATTGATCTTATGCAGTCTCTTTCTGTTTGAACAGTTATGGACTTTTATGTCAACAGTAAGCAGAGCTGCTAAAATCTTCTTCCTAAAAGCCTCTGACAGCTCTTTAAATCCTACCACGATGTTTAGTCTTATTTCAACTGCCAGGGGCCTCCAATGCGTTTGCATTGCCTAATTGCTTTGCATTTTTCTGCATTGCCCATTGCTTCACTTAGGCAATGCAAACCTTTAAAATACTAAGTATCAATGTCATGGTCCGTTCCACCCTGGTGCATAGATAGTCTAGATATATTTGGACATAAGATTGATATGTCTAAATATTTCCGGACAAAAAGATATTTAATATGAACCACCAAACAATAACCTACCAAAATGTGACATACACATGCAGGCGGTTATCCAGCAAAAAAAGCTTTCCTTTTGCCTCTTTGTTTTGAGTAATAATTCAATCTCTAAATTCAAGTTAAAATAAAGTGTAAAGAAGTTGTTTGAAAATGCATTCCACTGTAAAAACACGGCATTCCAGTGATTCAATTATGTTTCCAGGTGTAAGCACTGCATGTTCTTATGTGGCTGACCCTGTAGTTTGGCTATTTTTAAATCCAAGTGATCATTCTGTGTATGGAAGATAATCTCAACAACTCATTGCTGCAGCTTCCCTCTGCAAACACTAATCCTTTACTATGAACCTTAAACTGGGCCACAAGACGGACACCTGTCTTTCAAATGGTAGCGCAGAGGATCAGAATTTCTGAGAATTTGTACAGTTTATATTAGGTTTTTGTAAGCTCAAAATCTGTCACTAAAATTATTTCACATACATGAAAAAATATATAATTTTGCATATTTAATAAAACGTTAGTTTCAAAGTTCTTTAGGTTTGTTGTATTAAGAAAGTGACTTCTAATATTAATTCTGCTTCAGAACTAAGTCTTTAGATGTGTGAACATTGAAGGTAATATTCCAATATAACAGGCCACTTCCTTAAGCTATCCATGCAGGAATGACTAAATTAGAAATGAAAAAATAAAACAAAGAAAATAAAAAAAAATCAAACAATGAGTTAAACATCCAAATGCTTAAAAAAACTATCTGCACAACATTTTGATTTTCCTTTAATGCAAAGCAGCAACATTAATAAACTTCATAGATACCTTTCCTGTTAACATTTCAGATACTTTATTGTTTGTTGATGAGGTCAAATGAGCAAACTGTCTCCCTTTAAAGATTGAAAAAGAAAAAAAAATACCTTCAATGATTAAATGTCTATTCCAGTTATCACTAAGATGTTGTCCGGTAATCTTCTCTGCAATATCCTTCAGATTAGAGCTTGCACGTGATGAACAATGATTTATCAGGACACACTGCTCCAATATGTAAACATATGTTGAAAATCAACAGTTTATTAATAGAAGAAAAATACATTATTTATTTGATTGCAGGGGTAATTGGTTTGTGTCTCACTTGTCGTGTTGTGACCCATACAAACCAGACTGACCTCCAGACTTAGGGTTTACTGGGCACCAGACAGATGTGCAAGCCTCCTTAGATTTAGTTTGGATCAGCAGGGATGGGCTTCCATCCAGTTGTCCATCAGAATCCCAATGTTGCTGGATTTATTAGATTAATCTGTCACCAACCCTGCCTCAGCCAAGTCCTGTAATGTAGGTTACTTTATAGCCTACTAAGCAACTAGACTGGTTGGCCTTTGATGCTATGAGTCCAGTTTTTCTGTTTAAAAACTGAAGGTTTTTAGAAAACAGGCCCTAAAGAGGAACTCCATTTGTTCTTAAAATAAATGCACAAAGTTTCTCCTAATTTCTTTTGCTGCAGATTTGTAAAAGCTGGATTTAAAAGCTTAGCCTCAGAACCACTTTAGCATACGCGGTTTATCTTAAAAATGTTTCTGTCTATCTTTGGGAAACTTTGAACTAGCTTAGCTAGTTCTTCAAAGTGTGCTTAGCCTATTCACAGTTTGGGTATTAACATAATTATTAATACTTCAATTAAGATATATGAATTAACAATCTTAGTAGAGGGAAAAAAAACCTTGTGGTCTCTGGATGGTGTCCTGGAAGGGGTATTAAGACAAAGGATGAGTGACTACTTATCTTTTTCAGATGCTGTGGGTCGAACTATAAAAGGATAAATATGAAAGAAACTTCTCAAATATCTCAGTTATAACTCAATTTGGGGCCATGTTTTCTAAGATTGATTTTAAAGATATAAGTTATGGAGTTATTACAGCCACAGTGATTGATGTTATCCTTGAACTTACCCTAACCCTAATTATTGGGGGATGGAGTGTCTTAACTTACTATTTTTGATTAAATGAGAATCAGAACATTAACTTTTCTTGTTTACATGCAACCAGAACACAGCTTTTTAAAGAGACAGTCATCAATATGTCTAATGTCTGTACCTATTTAATGGCAGTCTAATAGTAATATCCCATGACTCTATGTTTCTGCATTGTTATTATACAACTTATATACCTAGTTATACTTTTTTATTTCTGCCTACAACAGTCACCTTGAAAATAAGTTTATTAACCTTATAGTTTGTAAATAAACTTTTCATTTTCACAAGCACATATGGTTTATGGTGGATGTATGGGTATATGTGAGAAAGCAGTTTGACAAACCTTAGTTAGGGAAATCAGTGAGATATTCCCTGTAAAGAATCAAGATTATAGCTACTAGAGAAAAGAAATGAGAAAAGGAAAAAAAAAAAACATACATTAAAATAACTGAGAGACAAATATAAAAACTTTTCATGTTATCTGAGCTTTGGAACATTTATTTTCACCAATGCAGATTTAAGGAAGTTGAAATGTGCCTCTTTCCTTCTTTTCCTTCGGTTTGTGTTTGATGCTGTGCTCCTCCTCCCTCCTTTTTTCATAGATCTGTTGCTGCTGTGGACCGGCTCCCTGCTCGCTCTGCTGTGCCTTCTGCCCTCCCGTCAAATCGTCCACCAGCACAAGAGTCATGTACACCCTCTTCCACATCATGAGTTGCGCCGTCTCCTGCCTCATGTTGTCCCGAACCGTCTCTGAGCTCGTCAGGGAGAATGTGAGTATGATTTAGAACAAGGGTTGTTTACGAGCTCATTTTTATTCAAGTGAGGATCAAATAAAAGCAATTTACTCATTGTCAGATTCTGAAGTTGTTTAATTCTAACACCTGGTGAATAAAAACACACATAACATATCAACACCATACTTAGACAAAGGTAGAGCAAAATTTTTGAATATTTACAATACACAAAATCAGATGTGGTTGATCAACTCCATTGATTAATTAACCTCAAAAGAACAAGAGTAGCTGACCCCCAACAGATGTGTAAGTTTACTGGAGAATGTAGGTATTTGTTAACAGGAAAATGCACCACCATCGACAGGTTTTACTGCTCCTCAATTTCGGAAGGCCAAATTTTTTGTGACCCAGAGGATTACACAGAAGGAAAAAAAAATAGAAAACTGCCAATACATACTGAAGTGAATGATTGAACAACCCCCCCCCCAAAGCTTTGTTATGCTCAGGGAAATTACCAAAACATATGTAATTAACAATTCATAATGTTTGTTAACTCTCCTTGTCTCTACCACCGTCCCCAGAGGGTCCAGCTTCTTGCCAATCACAGAGCCAGCTCACTTCACTAGTTTTTCCAGTGTGGAGGTGTCATTAATGGATAAAAATAGATAAAAATAATAATAATGTCGCTATTGTATGGTCTTATTGCACAGCATCATATTATAGAAGGAAACACAGCATTCAGTACACCCATAACGGATAATCAGAGGGGTGGAGGGATCATCAACAGAACCATGATCCTGAAAAAAAATCCTAAAAACAGGAAATATAAAACATAATGGCTAAAAAAGGGAAATAATGAAAACTGAGCTAAAGTGCTGACATCAATCTTATTAAAATGTTGCAGTTGAAAATTAAGGGAGCTGTTTAGAAACAAATATCTACACACCAAAATAAACAGAGGCATCATTGCAAAAAACAGTGGTTCCACAAGTTGCTGAGTCATGGGGAGAATACATATTTTTTTTCATATGCAGCATTTCTATATGGTCTTAAGATTGTTTAATAAATAGTAGTAACTCACATTAAAACATGTTAAAAAACAGATCAGGAAAAGTGACCGTGTTACAAAATGTGGTGTATAATAGTAACATGAAGTTAGAGGATATAACTGAATGTAAAACTGTTTGCTATTCTTAATGAATAAGCTTATTTGCCAGTTGCATTTCAACCACATAAATCTCTTTTATAAGGACAACAACAAATGGGATTTAGGACCTTGGCAAGAACAAAACATACATGGTGTAGGGATGAGTTGTAGGGCAGCAGATTACATGGGATTCCTTGAAAATCTGGATTTCTAAAAATAAATGTTTATGCAATGTATAATCAAACTGCTGTTCATGTTTCAGGTGCCTTTCTTCAATGTGGTGTGCGACCAGGCACATGGGGGAGGTCACTGTGAGATGCTGGTGGGCTACTCAGCAGTCTATAGAGTATGCTTCGGTACCTCCTGTTTTTACCTGATGATGGCGATCTTCCTCATCGACGTAAAGTCCAGTCAGGACTTTAGAGCTCTCATACACAATGGGTAGGTCCCCAACTAGATTATATGATGAAAACAACTCTCTTTTTGTATTTATCATTTATTTGTGAGTTTTAAATGTTGCTGCATGCATAAAGGAGAAAGGGTTTTGCCTCAACTCACTTCACCAAGTCTGCATATCTATTTAAAGCTCTTTGTTGTTGCACTTTCCATTGCGGAGCGCTTTGATTAGTGCTGTGACGCAGCGAGGATAAGGATTTGGAAGAATGGATTGTCTCTCCTCTTTGGAATAAGAGCCTTACTGGCGCCTCAGTGAAAAGGCTACTGGGTCCTTGATAAATCTTAGTGGTCTGCAATTATAGATCAATTATTGTCGGTACCCTGGAACTGCAGATGCTGTTTTACACTGTAATGCTTTGTAGCACACATAGAAAGAAAACTAAAATAAAAAGAAGTACACCATCTGTCAGTCCCAAAAGGTTTAGTACCTTGTAGAACCACCTTTGCTTTTATTATTATGAATTTTGGCACGATTTTCAAACTGATGTTGCTGCAGGTTACTAAGGTCTACAGCTGTGTCAAAAGTCTGTCATCGACTGATTGACTCGGATGCAATCCCTCACGCTAAGCATGCTTGTAGCGACAGTGGAGAGGAAAAACTTCCTTTTAACAGGAAGAAACCTCCAACAAAACCAGGCTACTACATCCATGCAGTTAAAGTTATTTTTGTTTCAGAACATAACCTGACAAAGACTTTACCAATTTATAGGCTCTGATAGGTGAAACCTGTAAATATACATTTAAAAAAAAAAAAATAGTCTGATTGTAACTGAAATGTATCTGACTCGGGCTGGAATTACATGGATTTACTTGAGCTGAACTTGGACTAAATCAGATATGTATACAAATGAATTGGGACCTGTTTGTCTTGCAAAGTTAAATCCTAGTATTTTTTAATATGAATATGTAACTCAGTCCTTAGGACCATTTGTCCTGCATGTTCTAGATGTGTCTCTATTTAAGCATACCTGCATCAAATAATTACATCCCCTCTTCAGTTGCTACTCAGGGGCGGAGCTAGATGGGGGGCCAGGGGTGACCCTCAGCCAATCATTGGACACCCCTGTGGCCGCCCCTACCATTTTTTCCCCACTAACACAGACAGTGGCGCTGGTAATACTCTCAAGTGGAATATTCAAAACATTTAAATTTTTCATATATTAACAATTACTTGACAACAAAAATGCTGTGGTTAATTATGTGCATCAATGTACTAACATTAGAGATGATAAGTACAGAATTCATGCTCTTTTCAGAAACAGATTTTGTGTCTTATGGGGTAAAGAGAAAATGATGCTTATCTGCAAATCATCTAGGAGTCTTCAGTAAAATCATAGATAAATAAATATTTTATTAAAAATATATTAAATAATCAATTTATGTGTATATTAGTGCTTGTAAATATCTATTTATGCAGAATGATTATTGATACAAGTAGGTAAGTAATGACAAAGGAAAAGATGCTAGCCGCTGAACTCAAACCTATAAGAATATATATCCACTATACCTTTTATCTAGAAAGTATGGATGTTTAAATATATGCATCTATTTGTTAGCAAAGGCTGTAGGAAAGTATAGTTTGTCTTTATTTAGAAAATATGGATCTTATGCTTATTAATTTTCCTGTAGGAACAGTGTAGATTGACCGTGAGGTTGTGGTGCCACCCCTCAGTGTACATCGGTTATGCCTATGTTGCTACTGAGAGCTACAGATGCCAGTTATTCATTCATTTCTTTATGTCAGATTAATGGCATTAGGGAAATACTGAAAGCATGCAGAAAACTGAGGAGTGAGTTTTAAAACCAGTGATTGAAAACATGCAACACCCATTGAGCAATTCTTTGAAAATGAAGTTGTTGTTTTTATTATTCCTGTTTTTTTCTGAATAATTTTAAGGTAATTGTTCTTTGTGTGTTTCAGGTTCTGGTTTTTAAAATTTATCACCCTGCTTGGGATGTGCACTGCTGCCTTCTTCATCCCAACAGAGTCATTCCTACATGGTGAGCTCTTTTTTTTTTTTTCAAAAATCCACCTAGAGCAAACATCTTGCTGCTCTTCCCTTAGCAAAAAGTAGTATACTTGAAGTAAATTCTTTTAAGAATACTTAAGTATAAGTATAAGTTTAGAAAGTATACCTAACAATGTACTTTTAGTGTACTTGAAGTATTACTAAAGTAATACTTCTTCAAACTAAAGTGGGACATTTTTAAGTTTACTAAAGTATACTTAAAGTATACTTTAATAAATAATAAAGTAAACAATAGTATAGTCAAGTACACTTGACTATACTATTGCTAAGTATATGAAATATAGTTTAGAATATGGATACTCTAGGTGCACTGCCTGATTTTAAGAATGAAATTAGTGCACTTTTAGTATTCTTCAATAAACCACTTTTTGCTAAGGGTTTGTCCAAATGCACTTCCTTCAAAATGTTCCTAGAGGGCAGCAGTGATCTACTCTAAGAAAGTACTACAGGGAAGCAATCATTGGACCATAAATCTTTACAGGGTGGTCTTCCTTCTGTTAGGAATAATAAATGTGATGCTGATACAAGATTAAATGTCAGAAGTAATTTATGATCAACACTCTTCACTTTTATCACTTCCAGAAACAAACTGAGTCACTTTTCTTTCTCCACATTTTCTCTTAGCTTGGCATTATGTTGGTGTGGTGGGAGGGTTCGCCTTCATCCTCATCCAACTCATCCTCATCACAGCTTTTGCACACACATGGAACAAAAACTGGTGAGTCTTGAAATACTGAAATCGTTATTTGGGGAATAGAAAATATAAAACTGTTAATATAATATATATATATAAAAAAATCAGATTTGATCATGGCGTTCCAAAGTACCGTATATTTTTTGTTGCTTTTCATTAATTATTTATCAAACTTATCCCAGAAAATGCTCAGATTTGATCCATTTATATTATTTCAGGGCATGTTACTAAGGCGAAACTGTCATAATGAAAATTTAAGCCAAAAAGTTAGTATCAGCTTTAAAGATCAATAAATTGAAGTCTTTATTCATAAAGTAGCCCAGGGTCTTTTGACAAACTCTCAATTGGGTTTAATTCTGGATTTAAACTAGACCATGCTTGTAAACAATGAATATGCTTTGATCTAAACCAGCCAAAAAGGATGCACAACTCATATTTGTCCTTTCAATAGATTGTTCCACTTGAGGTGTGGATATTTCCAGATCCTTCAGAGTCCCTAGTGGTCTTCTTCTCTGAATAATATTCTCTTAACTTTCTCACCGAATTGTTCACTTTGTTTTGAACATATGTGGCCGTAAGTCCACATATGTTCTATAAAGAACCTCTGAAGCCTTAAGAACAACTGTTTTTGTATGGAAAAGAAATAAGATACGGAATGAATCTGTTTACTCATCAGGTGATGGAGTGTCTTACTTGGTTGTTTTTGCAAAATAATTTTCTGCACTATAGCCTACCTATAGCCCACCACTGATTGTGCTGTCCCAGTGAGTGGTTTATGTATGATTGGCATGTACAGAAACCCAAATATACAAAATAATCTGCTTTCTGCTTGTAATGGACTTTTAATCGTCGTCTCTGCTTATCTGAGACCGGATTGCAGGGGCAGCAGTCTCTGCAGAGACTCTCAGATTTCCCTCTCCCCAAAAACCTCCTCCAGCTCTGCTGAGGGAAGTCCAACATGTTACCAGGTCTACAGAGATACATTGAGCTCCCCAGCATGTCCTGGGCTTTCCCCTGGGTCCCCTAGAACACCTCTTGAGGGAGGTGCCCACGGGGTTCCTGGAAAAGATGTCAAAGCCACCAACAAGCTTAACTCCTCTTGGTGTGGAGGAGAAGCAGCTCTACTACGAGCCTCTCCCAGAAGACCAAGCTCCTCACCATTAGGGAGAGCCCAGCCACCTTGTGGAGAAAGCTCATTTCATCCACTTGTATCCAGAATCTTGTTCTTTCGGTCATGAGGGATCGGTGCAGAGAGGATCAGGCAGCAACCAGAGGCCTCAGACCTGATTCATGAATGCTAAAACTGACTCACTAATGTATTTTTTTAAAGTGATTAAAACATTTAAAATTATATCTCGCATGTCGAAAAAAAGGAAGAATGCAGTTTGTTCTCAGGAATACACAGAAGTCCTGTAATATTTACAGTGAATATGATTATAATTATGTTTGGTATGTTACGTATATGTTTAGGATGTACTCTGTGTATCTGTGTATTGTGTTTGGAGACTGAACAATAATGGTAGATAGGTAAAGCTATTAATGGCTCACCCTTTAGGTTGACCGGAGCAGCAGAAAACAAGCGCTGGTACCTGGCAGTGATGTGCGCCACACTCTTCTTCTACACCATCGCCACCATGGCCTTCACTTTCATGTACAAATATTACACGCATCCCATCGCCTGCCACTTCAACAAGGTCCTGCTGTGGGTCAACCTGGGGCTGTGCGGGCTCATGTCATTCATCGCCGTCACGCCGTGTGTCAAACAGAGTGAGTCTATCACACAGACTAAACCATCCACATGCTGAAACCTGTACCAAAGCAGACGGGACAGTTGAAGCAACATTTTTACATAAGACTTGTAAAACTTGAAATCAAACTAAACTTTTGGCGTTTAAGGTTAGTTAGCATTACCAATTGCTTTTCTATATGGTTAATGCCAACAATAACAAGAGAGAAAATGTTTGGACTTATACTCTAACTTTCTTTAAACATAGAAATTCATTAGAAATTAGTAGAATTACCTTTTCCTAAGCTCAATTACATGCATATTCTAGGTTATGAAACTCAAGCTTCTCACAGCAGTTTGTTTGAATTGTAGCAGATTAACTTTTAGTCCTTAATCCTCTTTCTTTCAAATTTGACTCTTTACTTAGGATCACTGTTCATTTGGAAAATTAATTTGTTTAAAAATGCTGAATGGCTGAATGATTCTGACAAAAATAAGAATATCCATTTTTCCCCCCACCAATAATGCCTTAGTGATTACGAAATGTTTTCTGAATTTGCGACTATATTGCAAATACAATAAATGCTCAACATTATACAAATTTAAACTTCCTGGCTGATGTTTTGACATAGTCAATAATCCCACAATAGTGTGATTGAAAAATGAACCAGTCCCTCTGGAAGCGAGGAACAACCCCACAATATAATACTGCCTCCCCCTTACTTTATTGTTAGGCCTTCCAAGCTTCCCCTATTTTTAGCTTCAAGGGTGTAAAACAGTCTACTTAGCTGTTTGGACTGTTTGGAAAAGCAGTTTAAATATGTATCTTTTAAAAGGGCTATATGTTGAACTGTAAAAACCAAGAGCACCCATTTTCATTTTGAGTCTTTACAGCCCTAGTGGCTCTTTTTTTCGACAGTAGGCTGACAGGAAAGGGGTTATGAGAGAGGGGGAAAAAGCAGCAAAGAACCACAGGTCGGATTTGAACCCAGGTCGGCTGCATTCGAGGAGTGAGGCATCTGTACATGGGATGTGCGTGCTAACCACTGCGCCACCTGCACGCCCAAGAGCACTTTTTTTTTTATCTGAGAGCAGGATTTCCTCTAATAGCACTAAAAACCTGTGATGCTCACATTCAAAATTTCTGCTTTCTCTCAAATATATTATCCTCTTCATTAAATCTTTTTTTCTGCTCTCACATCTAATGCTTCTTGCACATATATTTCCTTCTCTTTGCACATTAACCAGTCTCTGCTCTAGTCGGAGATACGCTCGCAAACCTGTTGGCTCTATTTGTAGATTTTTTTTCAGCTTTATCTCAGACTGGAGTCAGATCATCACCTAGCAACCTTTCGAACCAATAGAATGACAGCCTCAGAAAGGGTGCTTGTTTTCTCCTACTGAGTTTGCCTGATACTTCTTAATGATAAAATTGCTTTGCAATATAAATTCTTGTAAAATACGAAGCTGAAAGCACAAACAATTAGAAAAAATAATAAAAACCTAAACATTTATAAGAGGTGATTCCAAATTTAACAATGAAAAGTCACCCATTGGGGGCAGAATTAGTATCTGCACTCACTGGTATACTATAAAGAGGGATTTTTCTGAAGATGGTTCCACTCTCAAGTAGCCCTAAATATCCTACTTTTATCATTGCTAAATTGGATGATAAGTTTTTTTATGAGTTCATATTGGATCTGGCATATTAAACACAATTGGGTTAGAAGAAATCCCTTGAAAAGCAACTTTATTATCAGTAAGCAATAACAGGCAAGCTCTTTCTGAGACTGTTGTTCTATTTGTTGCAAAGGCTGTTAGAGCTGCATGATGTCTAATAAGCAGTTAGTCTGTTTGAAGCAGCAACTGCATCACCTGTTGTGTGTCTAAATACATTAACTGTTGTGTGTTAGCCCATCAGAGGCTAAAAAAATCCCTGGCATCCAGTAGATGAGATGATTTTCCCAAGCTATTTAAACTCTAATAAACTTAGTGTGCGTAAACACCAGATTTTTTTCCTCAATTCTCTTCTGACACTTAACAAAGATAAACAACATTTTGGCAATCCTAACTGACCAGAAGCAGTAAAGGTTGAGTCTCTGAATGTTGACAGCAGAGGCTGGAGTTGGTTTTTTTTCAGATTGTGGATAAAGAAAAAGAGCTTTTAGCCAAAATTTGTATTTTTGCCAAGAGATGTACAAAATGTTTACTTTATCTGTGGTTTAAATAATAATAAATGATATATTATTAAATTTTTTTGAGGAGGTTAGTGGGGTTTTTATTAAACTGTATTTGCTATCAAGACTATTATTCCTGTTAAAATGCATTGTTATGTTATTATTGGTTTAAATAAATGCATAATTATTATTTTTTTGTTTCTGCCTCTTGCAGAGCAGCCTCGGTCTGGGCTCCTTCAGGCCTCCATCATCAGCTGTTATGTCATGTACCTCACTTTCTCCGCACTGTCCAGCCGTCCGCCAGAGAAAGGTAAGGAAGCAGACAGAAAACAGAAGCAAAGAGACCTCTTTTGTTCCCCTGCTGACACTTAACATCTCTGCCCAAAGCTACAAACACTTTTTGTTTCTTTAAAACAAGTAAATGAGAAACACATGGAAGGAGGTCCATGTTGCTACTGTCTGAGCATGAGAGGATTGTGCACTTAAGTTTATTAAATTATTTAATTTTCTGACTTCTGTCTGCAGATCTATTCATCATCATTTTATTTAACATATTAGGCATTTTAGTCTCACAAGTAAAGATATACACAGGTTAATGTTTATATACTTCCTTATGGCCTTTTAGATTATTAGGTTATGTATGCGAAACACTGTGTAGTTGATGCCAGTATTGAAGCTTTTGATTAAATTAAACTGATCATAGCATGTCAAAAAATTTATTTAGTCTCAGATCTTAAGAAGTTCAAGTATTATTCTCTCTACTGTGAGAATGTGTGCATATTAATCAATTCAATGCTTTATTATTACTATCTAATAACTCTTTATATTTGAGTATTAGCTCACCGCACATTTTCTCCTCAGTATCTAGCTCTTAGATATCTATATATACTGTTGAATTCTTTTTTAATTAGGTCTTTATTCCTATCTTTATGGAGCTTTGTCCGCCTAAAAGACAAAGTGATGACTGGTTTCAGTGTCTATTAAAGGTCATTGGTCCTTTTTATTTAAAAAATCTTGATACTTTCAAAACTTTTATGCTTTTTTCTAAACAAAAGCCTTTGGAATAAAGGCCGACAGCAACATGTTTTTTCCTACCTTACTGAACAGTGGATATGGGGAGAAACTCAAAAATTCTAAGTCAGAACCCCTTTAAGTTTATTTTTGATGAGCTTGATTTCAGTCTTATCTAACAAAAGCAGATAATTCCAGTTTAAGTCTCCGTAGCCTTGAGAAAGCTCGCCATTTTTCTGATAGTACGATATATTTTTATTTATCTTGGCATGCCTCCCAAATAATCAGTCAATATAAGAAAAGCGTTTACCTTGATGAAATATATATACTTGATCCCAAGATGCCATAATGTGCTTCAGTTCGCTATGATGGTCAGAATTTTTTTCAAAAGCCCTAATCCAAGAACCTAATCCAGATTACATTTATACCCCTGGGAACAAGAAATCGCATATTACTAATTACAATCTCCAGTAAAAAAAAGTTAGGTATAGATAAAAATGTGCCTCATTACCAATGAGGTTATGTTTTAGTAGAGTTTGTGCACGTGTTTTTATGACAGTGTGGGGACTTTAATCTTTTCACCCCATGGGGACTTATGTCCTGGTCCCCATATGGTAGAGTTATTTTCTTTGAGCTGAGGTTAGGTGCAGGACTAAGATCCTAATCATGTGCTTGTTTTGTCTATTGGTGTAAGTCACAATATGGGGCAAAATTTGCTGATTGGTAGAGGTCTGCGCTCACAGACTGCTCATAGTTTTTAAACGTAAAAGGAGGACAAGAAATTGTTAGCTGTAACAATTGATCTGGACCCAGACGTGGAAAACTGATAGAAACAGAAACACCCAGCTGCTATTTTTTGTTAAACAAGGCATTAAGTTTTAGAAATTACATTGTTTTTGTATCTGTGTCCAATATTTTCATCTTCCTGTTTTAAAATCACCTTTCAATCCATGCTAAATCTTTTTTTTAAGTCTCTCATATATAATGACAGTATTTTTTATCGTGGTGTATATTAACTGATGATATCAGCATTGCAGCCAAGATGCTGTTTCTTCTAGTTTTTTAGTGATGCTCTTAAAGAATTCCATCTGGAGCTGATTTTTCAACCAGTTTTTGTCGTAGTTTCTATTTTCCTTCGAAGTCATATCTGTGCATTAAATATTTTATACCAGCATTTAAAATGTTTGTGTTGTAACAACCGTATGAGGACATAAAGACCGTCATTACCTTCTATCCTTTTTCCCCTCTTTTCTCATAATGACTCACCTGTTAGCCTCAGGAAAGACAAAGAGCTCTTTAATAATGAAGACATAAGTGCAGCAGCTTGTTAGAGGCCCCCTCCCGTCTTATCCGGACTTTCATCACATGCAAACATACAGACACCAGCTCAGATAACCCAGGCTGAGATATGCTGCGACATGCAGGTATTTCTCTGAGGAGGGCAGATGGAAAGATGTTTGTTTCACATTCCTTTGACAAACTACTGACAGCATAATAGCAGAGGAAAACATCCCAGCAGTGTCATTACATACGCTCTTACACAGCTTGTCATGATGAAAAGAAGATGGATAATCGGTGTTCAAGTCCCAGAAAGATTAAGAAGGGGAAAAAATGAAATGAATTGATTTTTAAAGATGCTACATTCCCTGCGAATATGAGTTCAGAGTTTGGTTTATCAACTGACATTTTATTAAACAAAGATCTAATGCGTTTGTTATTCCTCACAATGCATCACAGTTAAAATACTTGGAATTAAAACAAATGGA